TTTTTTTTTTATAAAAAAATTTTTTAAATTTTTTGTGCAGGGGGGGTGGAAAACCTCTTAGCAAAAAAAGCCCCTTCCCCCCAGGTTTTTTAAGTCCCCTCCCCCCCCCCCCCCCCCCCACCCCGCTACCTTTCTCGAAAATGTTCACAAGTCTGTGTACACTCACCCCTCCCCTGAGGAAAAATGGATCTTCCATGATACAGACGCTAAGATGCTGGCGGATTTAGCGTATGATCCCAGTTTTTTAAAGCAATGGGCCCTTTTTGGAGACGATTGCAGTCATTTTCCTCGTCTTCATTTGTGGCCAAAGAGAATCATGGATACTAATGAATCAGTTCCTGTTTAATGAAGTATACTCCTTTGGGTTTTTCTAACACTTTATTTGACGTAGACTGTCTTGTGTCTTCTCAGTAGCCCTTATGCATTATTACGTCAGACGAGCACGTTTCACCACAACGCCTCTTTTGTGAACAGCATTCTTTGCATTATCACTCTTCGTGCATAGTTATTCTTTCAGATCTACTGCTGTGGGAATTCATTTACGTAAAGACTTTGAAAATTTACAATTGTAAAACAAAGCGTGGTGTTGAAATTTGTTTGTCTGACGTAAAAATGCATAAAGGTTAATAGTGCATCGCACTGAAAAAAAATGAAATACAGTCTGTAGAAAACACTCTCCACCGTCGTCATGTGTCGACTGACGATATATTTTGTCATTGATTGACTGGTTTTACGGTTGATGGATTGGTGAATGGATAAGTAGACGAATAGGTGACAGGAAACATCTTTCTAATTCTGTGTGGAAATCATTGATGGACTGACAAAATATCTGTTGTTTTTATTTCCAGAGCTTCTTGCATTCAGACCTTGAAAGGCCACAGGGATAATGTAAACTGCATTCACGTGGATTCCACCAGAATAATCAGCGTTTCTTTTGATCACAGAGTTCGAATTTGGGATTTTAACTCATGAGTCTTTTCTATAGATCGCTTACCTATGAACGTCAGTTGCCATGTCTTGCTTCATTTTAGCAGTTGCATCTACGAAATAACCTAACACAGTCGAACTGGCGGCCACTTACCTCTGCCCACAATGCAAGATGGCTGGCATTGTCAAGAGCTTCGACTGTACAGAAGCTTGTGAAGACACTGGACTGAACAACACATACAACGGCAGTGGTCGACGACAATGTTTTCTGCACACTAAATGCACGTGTTTTATCCTGCGTCCTTAGAAATGAGAGAATAGGCAGTTAGTAACAATTCGGGCCTTTTTATCATTGTTGGCATAATTATCATCTCCCTCATCATCGTCATCATCATCATCATCAACATCATCATCTTCCAACAACTGAGAGCGCGACGACAGTTTTACTCCACTGTCTTACTGTAGAGAAGTGTGAAATACTGTGCCGAGTATGAAATAGTGACATGCTCTTAAAGCAAAAATGCACTAGTTAAAATTCAAATTTTTGTAGCTAGAATTGTCTTTTCTGGTTGTAAATAGAATATATTTAAATTGTAAAAATTGTAAATAGGAGATGTTCGAATGAAAAAATCGTGTTTATCAATGGAATGCCACTGTTAATACGTGTATTGTCTTGGTTTACGTATAATGGTGAATTCAAAGTGGACAGCCTGCAAATTATAGTAGTTGCTACAGTAGGATGCCTAAAATGTGTGCAATTCTACGATTGGTTTCTGCTCCATTAAATCCTATACCAATTGTAGAACATTTTAGTAGGGGCACTCAACGAGAATATAGTTCAAAACCACTTAAACAAAGCATTATTGAACGTATTTTATTATTTTAATGGTAGATATAGGCATATTTTTATCCCCTATAAATTTTTTATCTGTTAGGATTTTCTAGCTGAAATTCTAGTGATCTGAAAATTATAGGGATAAAAACTTACCTTTTCGAAAATTTCAACCAGAAAAAAGGCTCCCGAAAATTCTAGGTGACCTTTTTAGGGTAAAAATCCGTTAAAAATGGGCAATTGTACCATTTTTTAGATGTTCTAAAATCTTAGGAGAGGGAGGCAAGCAAGAAATTTGACAACAAATGTTCCGAAAATTCTAGATTTGAAATCGTATTCCGAACAGATATTTTCCTAAAATTGACGTTGAGTGCCCTTGATTTTAGAAGGAGCCACCCACAATGTTACTTTAGCAGGCATCGAGCACGGGGAACGGAACAATTAAAAAAAAAACGAAACAACAGAGAATGGGTAATTGGCTTGGTTTGATAGGGCTAGAGTTGAAGCTACGTTTCGTTTCCATAGTTCGTTTTCCCGTTTCCCCGTTCCTGATTATAGCCTTCTCAAGATCATGTCTAAGTTGTTTAATATAACCCTCATAAAAGTGTATACTTTTTGAAGCGAGGAAGTGCTCCCGCTTCGCCGAGTTTGCCTTTTTTCTGGATTATATCGGATTTTTGATAAATGATCACATTATTATTTATAATGACGTCATATGGGGGTGTCGTGACAGCTTATCAGTCACGAGCCGCGTGAGGGCTTGGAGCATTGCGTGACTTCGGCCCTAAGGGCTGCGGAGGAGACTACAAAATTAAGCTTCCTCTTTCCGTCTAGACCTTTCACGAAGGCATTCTTCCCTAAAACGTTAGTTTAATTCTTCTTCTTCTCCGTTCTTCCACATGTATATGAAGTCATAAATTACGTCACTCGAAACTGATTGTTGGTTCTTTTCAAGCAGACGCCGCGACGTTTAATACGTGGCGAATTTAATCCGAAGATAGAAAAATGCTTTGCAACGGAAAAGCACGTCTGAGTAGTTACACAGGATCAATGCAATCAGCAAGAAAGCCTGAGAGAAAAGTTAAAGTTTTTGTTGATGACAAACAGGATCAAAGGAACTCTTTTATTTTGTCCGCGGTGAGAATCATCGTCGGAGGATCTCTTGCCGTCCTTTTCATCGTCAAAGACTTGGCTTGCGTTATATTGTTTGGAGTCGTGCGACTCCTAAGTGAAACTCTACGATGGTTTGTCAACTTTGTTATTCGATTCACAGAGGAAATATTACTAACTATTGTGAGGGTAACAATGCGTAGTGTTGAAGAATTATTTAACCTTTTATTTGGTGTTATTCTTCAGATCATAAACAATGGAGGTAGAGTGCTAGTTCGTGGATTGCAGCAAATCATTGGAGTTGTAGGTTACTTGTTCATTATCGCGAGCTTTGCGGTGGCCTATCTTTTTCATCGGATAATTTCTTTCTTATTTTCTGAAAGGTAAAATTCGGTCGTAACTAACTGTTCTTGCGTATTATAAATGTAAGACAAACGTACGTGGAGTCTACCATGATCAATTTCATAAATATTTTAATTGTAATATTTACATATCAGTACTTTTGTCACGCCATCAATAGATCGTCTTCTGTTCCTCGTATTTGGTTAGAAGTTTGGTTTGTGTTTACTAATACAAAGCTACTACTGACTTTTCCAAGGAAGAAAACAAAGCTTTGGAAACAACTTTATCTTCCAAATTATTCAAGACAAGGAACCAACGATACGTTAGAACTGTTAAAATGATGTTGCCGTCGAAATTGGAAGCGTGCACTCGTTTTAGACTCGGCGACTTCGTTGTGCGGGGTGCTGCAGAGGTTGAAGAGAGATTGAAGTACCAAAATACGCCTCAGAACTAAGGAGAGACTTCGTATACATATATATAGGGAGAATTTATTTGCTACAAGCTAACATGGCGCCAAAGAAATCGAAAGAGTCACAAGAAAGTCCGACAACTCATTTGCAATTATCACGCGTCATCTTTCGAATCATTTCTCACATGATCTGCAATTTCTATCTACTCGTAGTGCAGTACATTGGAAAAGCAATGCATACTATACTACAGGTGTTATTTGAGACGATTCGCGATGTAATCAAGATTATACTGATGTTAGTTGCCCGCGTGTTTTCTGATATCTGCTACGGTGCGGCCCATATCGTAGAAAAGATAATTGAAGCTGTGCTATATATTCTTCTTCAACTCATTCTGATAGCAGGGAGTTTGATTAATCGAACAGTGAGAGGATTTGTGGATCAGGCGGGATATAGTATTTCGTCAGCCGTGTTTATTGTTCTCACCGCCCTAATTTGGTGGGTTGTTCTTCCCGCGCTAGTGAACTTTGGTCACGCAGTCTTGCAGTCAATTAATGAATTCGTCACGCAATTACTATGACAAAATTCGAATATTATGTAGGGTCATGTAGCAATCATAAGTAAATAGATTAAGGATAAATGCGACCTGAATTGTAGAATAACCAATTTATTATTTTCAACCAACACTGTGGTGGTCAACTAGTGGTTGGATAGGCAGATACCGTATTAAGTGACTTGGTGTCTGGATATCCACTTTGTAGAGTCTTTATAAATAACCTTTGAATAGTAAGCACGATCAATGCCTACCCTGCAGATTTCAGAATTATGATAGAATACCTGGTACACTAACTCTCTTACTTGAAAAACTGCTCCCACAGTCCCACAGTCATGTTCGATAATGGCTAAGTGAGTAAAACAAGTGCTTTTGCAGTCCCCCGCTCCCACAGTTGCTTAAAAGTGAATATGATGTGGGTATACAACTAGTGCTCCCACAGTCAATTTCAAGTAACAAGTGTGCTTATAGAGCGAGATATACTAGTGCACCTCCCGCAGTCCCACACTCCCTCAATGTAGGAATGTGGATGGCTGAATTTGCTTGAGCAGTTCTTTTAAGTTAGATGTTTAGTGGGCTGGGTATTCTGTAATCTAGCCGAACTGGAGCATTAAGAAAATAACCTTTGAATAGAATTCACCCAACTTCATTCCCAGGGTTCTCTCCTACCCGCCCTACGGAGCGGGTAGGAGAGAACCCTGGGAACAAGGTTGAGAATTCACCACCATTTCTGAACATGAAGACTTTACCTACACTATTTCAGATAGGTTTTTATGTTGACTTGAGAAGCTATCCAATATAGTAGGAACACCTTCCAAAGAGTGGTGCAGACACCCAAGCAATATGTGACAATTCACTTTGAGCATCCGCGCAGTGCAGATTTGCCCCCTTAAAGAAACCGCCCCAAAATCAGTGTAAACAGAGGCCCTCTCAGATATATTTTTTGTGCATGCGCAAGAGCCATCTGGTTAAGACAAGTGTAAACATAAAATAAAAGAGGGTAAATCACATATCCCACAATGCAATGTTTCCAAATACATTATCAAGGTGGCGAGAACACATGATCCCCTCATTTTGAAATGGACATGGAGCATCATGGAATACTTGATCTATCCTCTTTTTTGTGAAATATGTCTACCCGTTTCAGTTTTACCATCATTTAGTCTTACATACATAAATACATGACATACATACATATGTTTATTCAAAGCATTTAAAAACAAAGATAAATGACAAAGAATAGGCGCCTTATGAGCCAAGTGATGCAAACGTAGCATTTCACGTGAAATGCTGCGTTCATAAAGCGCCTGTTGTGCAGGCTAATTGCTCGTAAAGCTAAACTATGTCGGGTAGTACCAGGTTATCCCTAGGGGTTAGGGGTGATTGAACCTGCGTTGCAGGTGGATAAGAAATATGGGAGCGCTACCGCCGTTCATAAGGCGTCCAACGCAGGCTTAGGGGTTATCGCGAGAAAATTTGAAAAGACGAGGAGGGAAGAGGAGGTGTCCTATGGCCTTCTGATCTCTCCCCCTTTCGCTGTTTTCTCCCTTTCTCCCACCACTAAACAAGCCTGATGCTCTGGTTAGGTAAATGTAAAACACATATACTATTCTAATGCAAATTCTTCTCGTACCTCCCTGTCAGGATGGACACTAACTCGAGATCTTAATCCTGCCGTAAAAACGGACGTGGACGGCTGTTTCGTTGTCTGTTGCAGGGTGCGCTGGCTGTCAATGATTCAATTCAAGTTGCATGAAGTGAAAGACGGAAAGATCTAGGGCAGAGAAATGGCAGGTACAAAACACAGGTCAAACTCTATTTCGGATTATGATCTATGTATTTTCGTCATGTATTCGGGGGTTCCCGGATGACAGTGTGCTTTTGTAATACCATAAAATTCCGAAAATAAGCCCCGGGGCTTATATTTTTCAAAGGCCCTTTTTGAGGGGCTTATTTTTGGAGGGGCTCATATTCGGAGGGGCTTATCTACGGAGGGAAATTTGTGTTTCAAAATCAATTGGACTAACCGTATAGTTGGAAGTAAATTTACCGTTTTTGCTTTGTTATACTTTGTATTTGATGGCAATTTTCCAAGTACAAGCCCCCGTGGGGCTTATATTTGGAGGGGCGATTTAAGGTGACTCGACCCAGTTTTTTTGGGAGGGTACCATCCTACTTTGAAGCTCTCTGGTATCCCCACCTTTACTTTTATCGTAAGTCTAACACATAGAATGGATAACATATAGATCAATCTACAATATAATATAAAATTTTTGGCGATCGGAGTAAATGTCACGTGGTTATAATGCCACGCCCCTTTGAGGTCTGAGTCGAAAATCTGCT